TTAATGCTGGCAGGCAGAGAATGCCAGTGGTTGGGAAGATTGCCTGGAGGTGGATGTTGAGGTCGGGGTGAGCCACTGAGAGGAGTGGGACTACACCGCCCATTGACACCGAATTCTTCTCAGCACCAACTACTTCCACATTACTCTGCCCACCACCATCAGCAACCCTGTACTCTCCATCCATCCACACCTCGTCGCTGACAACGCGCTAGTACCCACTCCCTGGTAAGTCTTATTCCTTTAATTTGTTTTTTTTTCTTGCCTAGTCACCACTTGTGTATTTCTTGTCTTCCTAATTAGCAAATGTCGGGCACCCCGGTCCGCAATTTTAAGGAGCCGCACACCAAGTACCGAAACTCACATTTGTTTACCCTCACCTCCCAGGGGTAGCGCTGCACTAGGGGACACTTCTCCCAATTTTTCGGAGAGGCAGCTCGGTGGATCTCAACAGTATTGTCTGGATCTGTCCCGACTGAGGCACTCCCAGTATATAGCAGGCAACAGCCCGCTATATACTGAGTTTTGGGTCACTGGAGTATGTTTGTATATAACCTCCCATGACCCTAAAGGGGGGTGAAAAAAGGTTACCCCATAGTTCTTTTAAGGTACTTGAATGCATTTTTAAATGTAACTCATGAGTTTAGTGTCACTTTAAGCATAACTAAACCCAAGAACAAAAATGTTCTATATTTTCCATTTTACCAGCCATTAGATGGGGTGGCTAAGAACATTTATAGCAAGTATAGACAATATCTCTTCTTGCCAGTTTGTGTCGCTTCCAGTAAGGTGAACAGGAAGAAAAAAGTTATTTAAAATTCCACCAGTGTATGTTCAACTTTACACAACACAGACATCTGAAAGTACACTTCTGGGACTCTTGCCCAATGACGTCTGATGTATGAAATCTAAATGTAGGGAGTTGGAGATCTCAGATTAAGTTGAGTGACATATCAGCTCTTAAAGTGACATTCTCTCCAGCGCTGCGGCGGGTGTCCGATCCAGTGCTGACTCCTCAGTCCTTGCTGGCACTTCCGATGCCACGGTGTCTGCATGAGGTTGCACGTGTCCATAGATTTGCCTTGCGTCTCTCCTCGTCTCCCGGCCGAAAATCCGAACTGCGCTTGCGCCCGCCCCAAGATGCTTTGCGGCCGCCCTAGCAGTTTCAGATTTTCGGGCGGGAGCGCGCGGCAAAGACGGGGTAAGTTTAAAGCGGGGTTTTTTGCTAGCAGTAGATCTATGCAAAAAAAACTGAGGGTTTAAAAATTAGAATAGCTTACGGTTTACTTTATCCTGCTGCTTTAAAAGAGCACTATGGGCCAACCTTTTTTATACGGTCTCCTCCTGTGACCCAAAACTCAGCATGTAGCGGGCTATTGGCCGCTATATGCTGACAGCGCAAAGCCACACTGCAGCCGGGACGGATCCTGACAGTATTGTTGGAATCCACACCACTGCCTGATTGACAGCTGGCTCTGCAGAGGCCGAGCCAGCTGTGCACGCCCCCTCCCCCGTCTATCCCTCCAGTCAGCACTGGAGCAACAGAGGGGGGAATCCCTGCCGGGAATGGTGACTAACAGTTGCAGCTCTCTGCAGGGAGATAATTGGGAACTAAGCAATCGGCGGTATGTTATCACTGTTCCTGATGAATAGAGTCGACGTGTGTCATCTTCTGTCTCACAAATCGGCTCTACTAATTATGGGGAAGAGTGTATTTCACTCTCCCCATAATTCTCCTTTACATTTTTCTTTAAAGTTTGGCTATAACCATGGTAACAGCCACTCCTGGAAACTGTATTAGCCTTGTTGTAAATCAACAGTAGTATCTCTAATCAAAAATGATGTTTCACCTTACAGGCAGTCTCAAATTTAAAGTTCATTTAATTGTAGTGTTTTGGATTTTAAGCCTGTGATGTTATCATAGGATGAAGAACGTGTTCGTCTGGACAAAGAGAGATTGGCTGCAAGATTGGAAGGCCATAAAGAAGGCATTGTACAGACTGAACAAATTCGGTAAGTGTGATCATCATTGCTGCTTGGTGTTATCATTTTTTTTTTCCACCTTTTGAGATAAGTTGTATAAAGGAAAGCTAATTTGACTATGCTTTAGTTTTGAGTGTTGTAGTAACTAAATATATCTTGTTAATTACAATGTTCAAAAAATTAGTAATGGCTGTTCTTAAAGTAAACCTGTCTAGTCCACTAAAGTATATAAAATGTTATATAGAAAAATTATTGCTAAAGTTCAGACAGTACTTTGTACTTTGGGGCTTTGGATCCTTGGCCTGGCTTTACACAGGACCTTAACTTCTCTCTAAGAATATTAAGCCGACCCCTTTCTTGACAGCTGCTGTCACCACCAGTTTGACAACTACCAAGTGTCTAAATGTTCGTGAGGGCTTGTGTAGAACAAAAGTGCAGGATCTTTGATGTTAAGTGGTCAAGCAGCAGCAGTGCAGAGCCTAGAATGCTATACAGTTAATGACCATGGCAATTCTCTTCTCGACCATTGCTGCTCTATTGGAAAGAAAGGTTTCTTGTAGATGTTATCATAGAGGTTTGGGTGATTTGTGCAGAAAGCAAATTTATTTGTGAGCGCCAGAGTCCTAAAAGGGACAAAAAAAAAACAAAAAACTTAGCTGGCTTGGCCCCCTGATCATCCTCCGATTCGTCACAAATCCCCTCTTCCGAGTCAGCGGGGAAACAAATGAGTTGTTAAGTTATCTGGGATACCCTTGGGTTAAAGGAGGGCCAGGCAGAGCTTTTTGTCCACGATGGAATGAAAAAAAAGGCAGACAGGGAATTTTTTTTTTTTTTAAAGTCTTTTTATTTCCCCCTCTAGTTTAAACCATAGATTCCCTTTAGCTGATGGAGGCTCGGGAGTTTGGTTAAAATGTCCTAAAGTGGACGCATCTCTTTCCAAAATTTCTAAGAATTCGGATTTAAAGGCAAAATCCTTACTCAAGAAGGTTTGGGAGGCCGCTGGTATAGGTTTCAAGCTGGCCCCTGCCATTACCTGTGTGGCAAGAACCTTGAATGTTTGGTTGTCCCAGTTGCGCTCTCACCTGGAATCTGGTACCACCAGAGAACAAATTTTAGATTCGCTCCCAGTATTGTCTGAGGCGGTAGTTTACATAGCGGATGCCTTGACCGAATTGGTTAGGTATTCGGCCCGTACCACTGTGCTTGTTAATTCCTTTAGGAGAGCCCTCTGGTTGAAAACCTGGTCGGCAACGTGGCCTCCCAAGTCTAAACTCTGTGGGCTCCCCTGTAAGGGGGAGTTGCTTTTTGGTCAGGAATTGGAGACCGTGCAGATCAACAGACAAGAAAAAAAAAAAAGGGTTTTTGCTCCATAAGAAACAGCAGAGCCAGTGCAGTTTGTCACAGAAGGGGGGGAAAAAAGCAGGATTAGGCCAAAGGTTGGGCTTTCAAAAAAGGTGAAAGTGGATTCCTTTTCACCCAACCCCCAGTATGTCTTAATGACTCTCAGGCCGGGTCCCACTTTCAGGAGCACGTGTCGAGGTTTATGGGACTACACCTGGAGCATCAAGTCTTTGAATCCGAGGGAATTGAAGACAATCGAACTGCTCTTTTTAAGGCGCTCAAAATTGTCCTGAGGCCTGAACCAGTTTTTTTACCTCCACTTTTCATAGAACGCAACCGGTGATTATTCTTTCTTTTTCTACCAATCTGTCAAATGAAAAGGAAGAGGAATGGCAAGGTATAGATGTCAGGAGATGTTTTCTGGAATATTTAATTAAAATAAAGTCTTTGGGAAGATCCAGCATTCTCGTTGTTTTGTTTACGGGTCCAAATAAAGGCAATAGAGCTTCCGAAAGCACTATTGCTAGGTGGCTCAAATTGGCCATTGTGGACACCAACAATATTCAGTACACTGAACACCATGGCACATTTTTCCAGGGCCTTGGCTCCTTCATGAACTGAAAGAGTAGGGGCTACTCCAGATCGGATCTGCAGAGCAGACACTTGGTCCAGTTTACAGACCTTTGTCAGACATTACAGGATCGACCTGTTGGCACACCAGGACCAGGCTTTGGACAGGAAGGTCCTGCAAGCGGTTACCCTACCCAGAGTAAGTGAGTATGGTTCTTCGCTTGTCCTCTCATAGGCTGTCCTGGAAGATGACTGGGGAAAACCTGAGTTTAGGTACATGGTAACTGGTTTCCAGGAATCTTCCAGGACAGCAGGGATTCCCCCCTCTGAAGAATTACTGGGGTTACTTATGTTTTTTTTTTTTTTTTTTTTTTTTTTTTATGTCATTTTATATATATATTTTTTTATTGGGTTTCCCCACTCATTTCCAATCTATTGATTACTTCTGCAACTAGTTGCGTTAGTTTGAGCTAACATTTTATAGGCTTTTTGAACTTGTTCTTTGGAAGCATCACCTTTCATCTTTCTCTTCTCTTATTTGTAACATTCTGATTCTTTTACTAGAGGAATATAGATTGTTCACTTTGCAAAGTGAGCAGGCTTTATTCTTACTTTTATTCTAGGGCTGCGGAAGTTAATGATCGTTATTTTTTTTGATCGATCAAAATTATTTTGATCGGAACTCACCTCTCTGCCACCTTCCGGGTCTTCCGTCGGAGATCCGGTGACGTCAGGGACTTCTCCCCCCTTCCCCGAGTGGCTCTGTCGGCTAACGAAGGGAAGGGGGGAGGAGTCCGGTTATGTTGTCCGTGATGGGTAACAAAGGGAAGGAGGAAGGAGTCCGGTGACGTCTATGTCCGTGACGTCACCGTACTCCTCCCCCTTCCCTTCGTTACCTGAACGGAATCACTTGGGCCGGTGAGTCTCCTGGTTCGTGAGTGCATCGGATGTGAAAACCAAAGAGAGAAACGAGGGCGCAAAACTAGGTCAGCTGACTGCCTGGACTGAACATATCAGAAAGGTGACAGGAACAATAAATATATATGTATAATGTACTTACTTATGTGGGTCTGGGAACCAGATGTGAACTGGCCTGTGAGGAGGATTAGGGTGTCCAGAATGTATGTTGAATGGCGGCTGATATATTGCCTGAGGCTGCCGCCATTCAACATACATTCTGGACATCCTGATCCTCCTCAC